TACAATGCAGTCTATGATAGGTCCACTATTCTATCCCCCATTTTGATAGATCTTCACCTACATTCCATTTCCATTGGGAATAATTACAAATCAACCCGAATTTGTATCCTTCCTTTTTGCATGACGCATTTAGATTCTTTTTCCCCCCCAAATAATTCCAGATCATTTTCTCCTCTCTCTTGTGCTGGTAGACAGCAATTCCCAATTATTAAAAGGAAAAGCAAAAGTCCAGGGTTGTACTTTTCTGTTCAAAGTGCTCCCCCCAGCCATATTCGAAAATTATATACTTAGAAAAATATTTGATATCTTTAATGAGAAATCCTCGTATTTCACGAACCCAGCCTCCTACACTGCCAGGCCCCTGTGGTGGTGTCACTGACAGAGAGGACCACCGCTAAGTGTACCCTGGAGCAGCTCCACTTACTTTAATAGGGGCGGGCACATTGTAACAGGCTTGGAGCCAAGTCAGGCTTGCCCAAATGCCAGAAAACCACAATGCCTTCTGAGTTTTACAGTGCAGTCGTCCCCCAAGATTCCTCTCGGACGTGAACGTCAATTGCAGTTTGCACTGGCTCGATTACATTAATATTACTGTGATGCTCGTGGTTACCAATGTGGAGTAACTTGGACACTGGCTAAAAATGAGGAAGCTGCAACAAGAAGCAGTGACTTTGAATGTGCTGGAATGGGGGGTGGGTGGGGGGGAAAGAAATCAAGATTAGAGCTCAAATAGAAATTCTCAGACAATGTTTCCCGTCCGACACCCCCCCACTCACCAACCACACCACACGCGCACACATACACAAAGCAAAACAGAACACAGAAGCAAGTTTAATGCAAGAATATATATATACTGTATTCTCAGTTATGGGGTTTACCACCAACACAGTGGATCACTTGTTTCCTGCTGCACTGGTCATCATCATAGTTTAAGAAATTCTCGCTAGTTATTGCACCCATTTTTGTGTTCTGTGATTAGATCCATTTTGCCACTGTCTGACTGCTTGCATAATATGATAGCTATTCGATTGCCTCATCAGCCACCATCACATCCTGTGACTTGAGACTATTAAAAAGTAACAAATAGATACCTATTTTTAACGATCGGCATGCAATAGGCTCCATTTTAAGGGGATGTTATATCAGCAGGTGGAGAGTCCACTTCACTTTTCCTAAAACTCATTCGTCAACCCAGCAGTGAGCTCCTTATTCCCATGTCTGAGCACATCATCAAACCATGTCTAACAATCGCCAAATCCTTTTATGTTGTGTGCGTGGCAATCTTGTATTTATTTTTCAGGAGGCAAACATTCTACTCTTTCTACGAGGTACACTGCATCAAAGTTATTGCTTCAGAGTCCAGCCTTATATGCATTTCCAAGTTAATAATGCGTCCACCTTTAACTTCTATGGTCCTACAGCGATGCAGAATTCTGCCCCTGGCTATTGTCCAAAAAGCTTAAAGAAGCCTTTCTCCAGAGTAGTTACAGATCTCAAGGCACTTATTTGTCAACAATTCAGCCAGTTGTCAAGTGGAGCATGACTTTTCCTACCTCACAAAATTGACAAGACATGGAATATATCAGGTTTGAAATATTCGCTTGCGTTGTGCCTTGGGAGTAATGCTAACACTAGAAAAATCAAGTGGCATAAAAATATTTAAAAAAAACAATCTGCCTTTATGTTGCATTATGTAACTATTTTAGGAACTGCTGTAGGCTTAAAAACAATTGCACTGTTCAATGATTTAGGAATACCAATTTCAGAATGGCTGTTGTAAAAACAGGCTATTTTCAGATTTACATATCTTTTCAATTCAAAGTTGTAATGATTCAACTACAATCTTTAAATACTTAGGCGTGTAAAGGCGCTCACTCATCTCATATCTTAACACTCTGATCATTCGAGCATTAGCACAACCGAACCAAGTTATTTTAAGGGAATTATGTTGGGTTAGATCTTACTGTCAGCACGTAAACCCTATTCTCATCCGTGCTTTGCTGATTTTAACTTCAGTGCTCTAACTATCAAGCATTTGTACAACAAAAGCTGTAAATTGGGAGTGTTTATGAGCTCCAGACTAAGTACTGCGGTTATGAAACCTGCCCTAATTATTTCACACAATCTGCTGAACATACAAATTCTGTCTCATTGTTTATCCGACCTAAATACTAAACAATGTAGAAAAAGGAAAAGCTTGCTGTACCAAATGATGCATATTACTGGAACAGATTACACTGAGGGATTTTTCAGTGATTGGCTCTAGGATACGTCTTGACTCAGTTACAAAATGCAAATAACAGATTATGCAGGCAAAAGGTTCAGTATGCCATTAAATGGGATCAACCATAACATACTAATCCCAGCAGCATTGCTTTTAAAGTCTAGGTAGCAGAATTCTAAAATATTGGTTCTGACAAACTTTCATGCCTTATGGTGACAAAGTGCTCATTTAACTCTTCAGCTGTACAGTATTTTGTTTGCCAATTTTCTTCCCTCCACAGGTGCTGGCAGTCCTCCAGTACCTCACCCAAGTGGCCATATTTCATGTGTGTGAGCCCAGACAGCGAGTGTCAGCAGGCTATTTGACTTATAATAATCCTTGCATTTGATACAGCACCTTATCACATCTTCGAGACGTCTCAAAGTGCTTCACAGAATATACTGTGAAGTTAATTGACCGTATATTTTGTGGGCGAAACAGGGCAGCCAATTGCGCACAGCAGTGTCCCACAAACAGTCGTGGATTGAGTGACCAATTTATTATTAAATTGGTCAGCAATTTAATAACAACTTATTAATAAATTGACTTTGGCATGCAACACAATCAAGTCCAGTCCTGTTCTCACCTCACAACACATCGGATAGTGATCAGGAGTGGGAATCCTAGTTGAACTTTACCTCCCTGGTCAAGGTACGCTAAGACCAATTATAGTGCCCCAACTGCACCTCAACCTGATACAAACCAAATCAGCACAGTTCAGGATTCAAACCTGTGACCTTTTTGTCTGTATGGTTCAGAGCTCCACTGAGCAGTGCCATTACCCAGTAGAATATCAAGGGAATCTCTCTGTAGTAGTCTCATTCCGCTTCTAAAATTCTTTACAAGACAAAATTTTCACTTTCAGAATGGATTAAAGCAAGATAATCAATAATCAGTTATGTACTGTACACGATTATAATTACAGTATTCAATGCAGCCACTTTTTAATATTGATTTGTTGATATAATTTTAATGCAAGCCTAGTACCGCATGTCATGGTAATCTACACTAATGGAGCCCTAAATTGGTTAGTGCCCTCTTGTAGTTATATAGTAAAGTTCAAGTCTGTAGATTGTAGTGTTTAAGGAACGCAGTTCTAATCAACAGCAGCAGTGTGGGACTACTGTGATAAGGTGATTCCACACTGCAGTAGCATCGCTCTGACTATAGCAGAACTGCAGGCCGGTGTGAACAAAGTTTTTAAACTTTCAGAGGCAGTCTGCCGGACTGTCCTTACATTTTTAATGTTAGTGAAGAAACGACAGAATTGTCGGCTCTTTAGTAACATTAAAAATTTAACCAGCATTGGGACACTGGTTAGCAGAGCACTGTCGGCTGCATCAGTACACACGCACAAAGCTCTACCTTGCTTAAACAGATTGTAATGTGGAGCGAGCTGTATAATGCCACAACGTCAGCTTGCACTGCTCTACTGAAGATAAGGGTTTGGACATGGTGCTCCGTAGTACCACTGAACTAAGAAACATCATTCCATAATTCATAGCTTTCTATTATTTGCTCCTTAGACATACTGAAAACTTCCAACGGTAATCACATGAAATTTACATTGATTTGAGAAGTTTTTACTTAAAAGTAAATGGACATCACTGCTTGAGTTTAAAAAAAAGCAAAACTCCCTGGGTGCAGTATTCATATCAGTTCCATGATAAATTTGAAACATTGATTACAATTCAACAATGCCATTCCAAATCCGGTCATTTGCTTTAAATATGTTTAAAATTCAATGATGGTTTGCATTTAAGCAAACGGTGTGATGCTAATACATAGGGTAAGGCTTCTTTAAAATCAAGACACAAACTATTAATGACATTAGAAATTTTGGAATTGGCAATTAGATTTTCAGTACTTCTTAACCCCAATTTCCAGCCTCCTCACTGCATGCCACAACCCTTCTTTTCTCAGAAACATATCCAATTGCCACTCCAACCACACTTATATTGTCTGCTTCAATGGTTTTCTTAGTCTATAAGTGTGTTACTCTTTGAGTAAAGTACTTCCACCTGATTTCTCTTGTTACTCCTAACTGTTTAAACTTACATCCCTGGATTTGAATTGAATCCATACTGACAGCGGAATATAACTCCTATTTTACTGGAACAAATTCTACGCTGACTTTTCAACTCAGAAATGGTTATAAGGGGTGGTTTGAGGGATATCTGATAGGCATTACATGGAGACCTCTAGCAAATATTACCCCCTCCTCCAAAAAAACAATTGGATCAGTCATCTCAAAAGTATTTAATATTATTATTTAATATTGTAACATTAGATAGTTGGTTGTATTACTACCAACTCTTCAATAACTAAAAAAAACTTTCCCACTCTGAATCATTCCGCAACTGTAAATGATATCACATTGCTTTTGTAATATAAAAGGGTCACAGTTCCTTATATTATAATTACAGTTACTTAAACCATCTTGAGCATTTAAACTTTGCACCCTCTCACAGGTAATATACTTCTACAGATTATGTGACTCCCAAAATATATGCAATACTGTAGATGAATATGGACTTTTGAGTGTACTGTGATATTTCTAAGCCATTAAAAAAATAAATCAAGGCGAACGCTTTATTAAATTTAGTGAAATGTTATTTAAAAAGTACCGAAGATTATAACAAAATGCTGGGTTAAATTAAGGGCATGTCTCGCTTCCCCTTTCTGACTATCAATAGCTATAATTGATCAAATAGACGGTCAACCATACTGTACGCACCTGTCCTCGGGTACATACTTCTCCTGGAGCTGAATGAAGTGGATGCCTTCTTCACAGCCAGATACTTGGATGATACCAAGAGGACTCCTCAGTGCTGCTGTCATCTGCTTGCACAGGCTTATGTTGTTCATCTTGGCAACCTTTACAAACAAATTGTTTGTCCTGATAAGTAATTAAACAATCATCACCTACTGTCACAATGGCAGCCAATTGCCATTTTTTACATTTATTTACTTACATTAATCTTTTGAGGATTATGGTCCAGTCACAGTTTAGATTATGAATATTCTGTGTCAAGACATGTTCAGTGTCTGTTACTCCAATTGGAATAATAATAATTATAATAATCCTTGTGTTTGATATAGCGCCATATCACAACGTTGAGATGTCTCAATGCACTTCACAGGATATACTGTGAAGTGGAGTGACTGTGTATTTTGTGGGTCAAATGGGACAGTCAGTTGCACACAGCAATGTTCCACAAACAGCCATGGAGTGAGTGACCAATTTTGTCACAATACACAGCAATGCAGAATAATTTTGCTCCAGTTCAGTGTCCAGTTGAAGCACTTTTCATAATGTCAGTGAGTTTGAAAATAGCAGATTTCTGAACAAAGCAATCTTAAATACAATTCACTTTTGAGCATTTTTTTCAGTTTAGGAATAACTTTACTATAAAAACTATAGCTTTCAATGCTGGAGCTTTCAAAAATGGACAAGCACATTATATACAGTTTTTTTATATACAGTATAAATAACCCATCAAAGTGTGGCACATCCTCTGGATTGCTGAATTGATTCCTGGGCATAATAGTATTTCACAAATGACCATTTATTGTTGTTGTTCATTGCTACTTTTTCACACATATCTGACCCGCTGTTGTAAATTTCTATTCCACATTTGGAATTTTAACACTGCTGGAACCTTACAGATGTACAGAGACTCCTATGAAGCAGCCCATTAAAATCTCCGCCTCCAGTGAACAACATTTAAAAACATAAAAGCTTTTAGTGCCACAGTCACAATAATCTTTGCACGGCAAAAGCAACTGAATTATAGCAGACAGGTCCATTACGTTAAACTATTCTCTAACCCAAACCCCAAATTGACATAGGATAGATAGGTTAGTAAAAGCAAATGTTACACTGAAGAAGCTCCTTTGCTGCCCCATTACAATATATTGGAACTTTTACACGGCATTCACTCTGCTGGGTATATAAATGCTACACAAAGGTCCCAGCGTAGAGCTGCCAGTTGTTTAGCATTTCTGATTGTGTTGCTTTATATCATCTTTGTTGCTCAACTCTAAAAGCTCAGAGATGGAACAATCCTTCTCCAAATTAAGTGACCGAAATTCCATGCAGTGTTCTGAATGGATCCACCACTAAATGGTGTGGTGTTGGCAGATCCATTGTGACACAAAAAACCAAGTTAACACTGCATAATGTTACCATTTCGAATACCTTTTGGCAAGAGCTTGGGCAACAAATGAAGTGCTAATAGGCAAGTGTAATTAATGGTGGCTGCATATATATGACGCATCATGAAGTACAGATGTGTTTGTGCTCCAAGTGAATGAGGAAACTGGAATTCAGTGTATATAGCCAATATAACTTGGCCAGCAAAAATGAGGTACACTGAAAGACATAAACCACTATGCTTCCCAATGAACTGCAAGAACAATTTACATTTATATAACACCTGGCTCATTGAAAACATATTTCAACATACTTCATACAGCTGAGTGGAAGCTTAAAAGGTTGATGTCATCCAGCAGGAATGTGAGAAGGGCAACCTGAATGACCAGAAACTAGGAAAAGGTCTACAATCACAAACAAAATTATATTTGTAAAGTGCCTTTCACGTCGGGAGGAAGTCCCAAGGGGCTGAAGGCAACCCTTGGGAGGATACTGTGGGTTTCAGGCCAGAGATGAGGGAGGAGAGAGATGTTGGGGAGAAAGGGTTAAAGATAAAGAAGAAGGGATGAGTGGGGGCTGGGAAGGCAGAGTTTTCACATCCACTCGATTTATTCGGAAGTCCATCACTTCCTCATATTTGGAGTTGAGGATAGAGTGAGCATGGGTGGAGGAGATGCTTTCAATTTATGTTGTACGTATTACATAATACAACGTTTACACACAGCAATTTGCAGGTCATTTAATAATAATAATCCTTGCATTTGATATAGCACCTTAACACGTTATTGAGACATCTCAAAGCACTGGTGAGCCGAGTGTGCTAATCACTACGCTACGGAACTCTACACTATCAAACATATTGAACTGATGTAACAGCTGGATCATGTACAGAAGAAAAGCGCAGTGGGAATGGAATGCATTTCTCCAAGAGTCTAAAAGATCAGCTAAGAGTTCTCAGAAACCATCTTGCCTGAAAACCTAGTACAGCAGTTCTGATCTGTTTGTCTAGTTTTGCAGTGAAAATAATTAGATAACCAGCCACATCAGCTCTAATTTGAACAAATATATGTTACATGGATAAGAATAAAAGCGCAATGTGGCCTCCAGTACTCCGATGCATATGAGGATAATAAAAATGCAGTCAAATCTTTTATGTACAAATTTATGTGCAACATCAAGTAAGCTCTTATTAAGTCCAGGGCCTCTGTGCTGAGTAGAACTATGATCCTGGAAAAGAATGTTTTCTAATGAGCATCTTGAAAACCCACATCATGAATGTGTTCTTCCACTAGATCAATCCTTCTGCTGGTGATGAATGTAGGAACACAAATGATGGCTAAGGTTGCAGGAGGGGTCGCGTTAGTACAGTTATATGCAGCCTGGGTTTGAAGCCAGCCCAGTCTGAAGAAATGAAGTGCTCGCTGTAAGTGTCCTAAGTAAAATGAGTTCAGGCAGTCTCACCCAGTTCAGAGCACAAAACTGCCCATATTTCAACACTAATTGGCAGTCTCATTCAGAGCAGCCATAAGGATGGCTGATGTGGGAAATGTAAAGGTCACACCGGTACAGCAGAGTGTTCTTCTGAGGTTGAGGTTAAAGTACATCATTGTGTCAAAGTAAAGGCGCTTTACCCTGTATTTAAACCACGCTATACCTGACATGGGAGTGCTTGATGCCCACCCTGGGCGCAGAGAGCAGAAAGATGTTCCATTCCTCAGCTTGATTAGCTCGAAAATCACAAACACAAATCACAAAGGCTGTTAAATCATAACACATGTACTACAAATAAAAACCTAATGCGCTTGTTATAGGAGGAGCTGGTCAACCAAGTCCTACTGCCTTCAGTCAGTGATGCTTCAGTTCTTCTGAAATCCAGAGCATCATTACAAAGGTGGTGTCACGTGTAGGGTAAACCCACCTGTACAGGGCCGTGCTTCTTTGACTTGAATTGAAACGATAATAATCCTTGCATTTGATATAGTGCCTTGTCACGTCTTCGAGATGTCTCAAAGATCATCACAGAAAATACTGTGAAGTGAATTGACTGTATATTTTGTGGGCAAAACGCAACAGCCAATTGCGTGCCGCAGTGTCCCACAAACAGTTATGGATTAAATGTCCAATTTATTATTATTATTTTTTATGAAGGAATTATTACCCTCAGAAAAGCGATCCGCCAATCGACTAACAACCTACTTACTGCTAGGTGAATAGAGGCATGTGGAGTAAGGAAACTTGCCAAACACTTCGCCCTGTCGGGAATCAAACCCAGGTCTCCCGCTTGCGAAGCGAGTGCTCAAACCACAAGTGTTCTTGTCTTGTTTCATCTGGCCTTGTTCAATCTATGCACCAGCATTAAGTCTGCTGGTCAAACTGGGGTACAGAGTCAAGGCAGTAAGCAAGAAGGGTCTCAGTTTTAACAAAGTTAATTGACATCAACACACAGCAAAAGTACAGCAATGAACCATTGGATTTCAGTGTACAGTCTAACACTGTAGTTACATTGCTGCAGAAACTTTTTGATGTTAGCTTACTCAGTGTATCCTGCAGAGTTCAAAACGGTGAAGGAAATTACATGAATGCCACAGGTATAAGTTATCCTTTGTTTATCCTTTTCCTTTAAAGCGCTTTGAGACTTTTCGAAGACATGATAAGGTGCTATATCAAATGCATGGATTATTGTACATTATATTATTTCACCTGCAGAATATGTCATTCAAAATATCACTTTCCATTCAATTTAAACATCTTTGCTTCACTTCTAACTAGAATTGGTGAGAAATGCAGTGACCAACTGAAATGCACCTTAGAAAACAGAAAAAAACAAAATGGTAGATTCTTTGTGCCAAGGAACCTGTGGAATAAATAGCTTTTGTTAATCTCTACATTTAATTTTTTTCTTTTGACCTTAAGCTGTTTCTTAGGAGACTTACACTTGCGGCATTTCAACTTAACACCAGAAAACCCATCTTGAACCTTATCTAGTAACATTTTATTGACAAGCTGTCTTACAGTGAGCTGAAAAAGTCAATGTTTTACAACGCATGAAGTCTGCAAACAGGATGCAGAACACTTTACATTAAGTACGTTTTATTCCTTATCCAGAAACTGTTCTACATGAAAGCATTCTTTCTGGCTTCAAACATGTCTAGAATTCTGAAAAATATTCATTATCGCTATCAGTTTACAATAAATTAATTTTGCAGGAATTCCACGACATTATTCAGACGTACAAATGATATTAAAAATCTGCAAAAATAATGAAATACCCTGATGTTAAAGCATTAAACGACTTATCAGTAACCAAAGAGCTATCTTGGGTAAATGGTTTCAAATGTTCTTTAGCCATATTAACATTTCAATTGTCGCGTTTTTCATTTTGTTAACTAGATTGCTCTGTGACCCATATGTAAATAGAACATTGACATCTAATGATAACTCAACAGTGGTTTGTGAAATAGCTATAATAATTACATTTTTCCCCAATCTTTAAGAAATGGCAGTGCATCACAATGTTTAATAAGATACGGCTTTGTTACTTACGTTTTAAAAAGCATGAATCACATGCCCCATAAACTTGAGCCTGACAACTATTCAGGTGTATATCTGAGAGATATGCACCTTCTTCCTTTACAGTGACCCAGTACTTCATCCATTTAAGCAGTGTCAGTCCAGGCCTGAGATCAAATGATTCAGATGATAGAGTGTCACCCTGTGGCCC